ACTTGATTTCCACTGTTGTGACTCTCTAGCCTTCTCTTTCTCCCTCCGCCACAACAGTTCACAGTTTTTTGGAAAATGGCTTTTCCATTAGCCTTGGAATTTCAGTAAGAGTGTCATGAAACAGACCACCCAGCAGACATGTGATGGCCATGCCACATGAGGGAGAAAGAAAACAATTTCAAGTCACTGAAATTTCTAGGTTGTTTGTTACTTTATCATAGTTTAGCCTCCCCTATTTTCTGCAATCTATATGTGTTTATAAGCAGGAAAAAAAGGTTATTTTCACTAAACAAACAAATATATGGTCCCAAGTTTTAAAATAATGTTTCTAATACTCATGTTCTCTAAGAAGTAAACAAATTGTCTTAAATTGCATATCTTTCTTTTCTATAAACTAACACATTAACTGGAAAAACAACCCATTTCTAGATGGCTAGCAGGCTAAGTGACTGTCCCACGTTGCATTTTATCTTCGTAGCTGTTATTACCTGGCTATTTTAGACAATTCCCTGATTTTTGCATAATCTTACAGTATAGTTCATGGATAATGAGTCATTGTGTTAAAACTCTAACATCTAAATCCATGCAGGGAAGTTTTAATGAAATTATATCACTTTCACTTGTCATACTTATTTCAGTTGACTATACAATTTCATTAACAAAATTGTTTTTCATTCCTCTTTTTATTTTTTAAATAACATGGGTAGTTTCATGGGTTACAAACATTCCAAGAGAAGTCTAAAAAGAAGTGACTTTGCATATCCAACATTTTCTCATTTAGGGTGGGTGTTTATGTTTCTCACTTTAATCAGCCTGGTCAATTAAATTGGACGGTTTCCTATTTGTTTCTATCCTGTTTATCCTCCTCTTCTTTGCATTCTGGTTTTTATGAACTAGCTTAAAGCTGCTGTTTGGTCTTCACAACACTTCAGGGAATGTTTAAAAAATAAACTAAATTGCCTTTGTGACTCTTTTTCCAAACTTGCTGAAAATGAGATTTTTCAACAGCCTCTACCCCAGACCCCTCTCCCCTTCCTATTTAATTTAAATTTTGGTACTAAAATGAGCTTACAGTATTCCATTAATATCACTGGGGGAGACACTTGTTTCCTATGCAATATACAGATTAGTCTACAATTCTCCCCACTTATATCCTTCATTGTTCTATGACTTTACAACGCCTACATATAACATATTTAGCAATTTATTTGCCTTAAAAATTCCACCTTTCCATATTACTTATTGCTTCATGGACATGCATTTACAAAAAAGAGAACAGGTAAAATTACCATGCAACCTCTAGTCCACCATAAACTGTTGTTTGGAAGAAGTGCTGGTTATAGGTTTATTTCAAGACACTTGGAGAGTCACTCCCTAATAACAGAGTCAACAAAGGAAAACTAGGATCAAAACTGTTGAAAAAATAAAAGTATATCCTCTTTTGGAATTAAATATTTGATTATTTATTTTGGGAATAAATGTACATATGTGTATATTAAATGGATGAATAGTTCACAAAGAATCAGCTGAATATAGGGTTTAGAAGACCAGTAGCATGCTAGACCATAAAAGTTTACATTGCACTTTCTCCACAGATAATTCACAAATTCTATAATCTACGTAAAGGTTGTCAAGAGTTGATTCAGGGTAGTACTTACCTATCCAATCAGAGTGGAGTTAATCCTCTATTCTTCCTCTGCAAAATGAGAAAAATGGCATCTTCTTTTCCCTATCTCACAGGGTGCTTGGAGGTTGAACATGAAACTTTGGATGAAAGAATTTTTGTAAAGTGTACAGCAGTAAACTAATGGAATGTGCTGGTAATTCCAGGAACATTCAGTCTTGTGTAGCTTCACTCAGGGACAAAGAAAATAGTTCAAAAGGATGACACCAGAATATTAGCAGGTTAAATAGGGGCCCTGCAGGCCACTCAATGAGTTTGAACTCAACCCTGAAGGCATGAAGGAGATACTGATGGATTTTAACTAAATGGGTTTTGCTTCAGAAAAATCCTTCTCGTATCAGTGTGGAAGGTGCCAAGTGACACTGGGGATTAGAGAGCCAGATCGGAAGTCATTACTCCACTAATGGAGAGAAATGATTAGGGCCTGAGTAAAGCAGTGTGGTAAAGATGGAGAAGATAAAATGCAGAATAAATAGAATTGATAAGTAGTGATAACTGAATATGAGGGAAAGGGTGAATGAAGGAACTGAGGAAACATGCCTGACTCAGAAGTTTCTAGCTTAGACAACTGGTACTCTTACCTAACACAAGGGGTCCTGGATTTTCAGGGTCAAGTATCCGTTTTGTACATGTACATGTTGTACATGTGGGACACTTTCAAGACTTGATCATCAACTTAAGCAACTGGACCCAACCCCAGCTAAACAGACATCCCAGCAACACACAACAACCAGTGTTTCCCATCTAAGAGTCAAGTGCATTTTATACCAGGCAATGTAAAGTAGTCATCACTGCTTGTTTGTGAGCTTCAGGTTGCTAGTGATAATTTTATAGGTCAAACTATAAAATAACTTTACAATTCTTGAGTTAAGGTGAGGCTACTCTGACTTTTAAATTTCAATTGTGGTCAATAAGTGGAGTATATGAACATCAATGGAGTATATATCACATCAGGAATGTCAGCACTCCTTGAAGACAGCAATCAATCATTTTCTGGATTAAAGATAAAACTGTAATCAGCTTAATATAAAAAAGGTCAACATCTGGCTCGTGGTCACAACTCATTTTTTTTATAGCCAGTTCTTTTCATTTTACAAACCATGCTCTTATTAAAAAACAAAAAAATTAGTAGACGGTTCTTTACCCTTTATTTTTAAAGCGACCACTTCTCATCTGCATTTTCTGGTGTAAGTAGGACACATCAAAATAAACAACAACTCAATACGTCTTTTAATCATTTTACAAAGTGCATAGTACCTGGGATAGAAATGAGGGCATTATGTTTGGGAATAATCATGATCAAATTCTTTCCCTCATTTTGAAAAACATTCTCTGTCCATGTTTGTCTTTCTCTCCCTCTCTCTCTCTCCCACATGCACACGTATTCACCCTAACCACTACACACCACTCTCCTCACCAGCACTGCCACCCTCACCAGCACTTGAGCGGTTTAGATAGACTTACAGACACGATTACTGGAAAAGGGTATACCTTCCTTGTTTCCCTGGGATTTTTAGCTTGTAATGAATGCTCATGTTACTTTTAGGCAGAAAGGCTCAAACCATCAAATGCACTATAGCTGCCATTGCAATCAATAGTGTCAATCTTATCTAGAGCTTAAGCTCAGCAAAAATGTGAGCTGATTGGATTTGTCTTTATAGTACAATGCATTGGAATAAGGGCAGGAAGTCAGTTTGGCCAGGAGGAGCTAAAAAGATCAGACAATCATTTTCTACTAGGCTCTGAGCTGCCTAAAGACTAGGAATGTGTCAGCTGTTTTTCCTCCAGCCTGAGCACTGTATCTGACATCCATCAGTAGCTCAAGTCCATCCACTCATTGGTGTGTCTGTACACACTGGTTGGTAATAAGTAAATCCTTTTAATGACACCCTAAAAGAGATGCAAAGCCTTCCCTCTTCCAGAAAACTTGTGACTGAAGATTGACCGTTTATGACTTCTTTGCCTTTTTAGGGCAGTTCATTTTTAGCCCGGATTTGACTGTGTGAAAATGTTAGCAGAGGTTTGATAAATTTACGGAGGGAGGGCTTGGTGTTACCTGCTCTGTGTTCTCCATCTTCCCCTCCCCCTCAGGACCCTGGAGCTGTACAACCCTTTCTGTTTCCTGTATTTATTTTGCTTTAAGACTCATCTCTTACAAGCTCATATTTTTTATGCAAATCACAGACTGGGTGTAGCTGTTCCTTTTCTCATCCACACATCTGCAAACCTTATCAACCTTGGCGGTACTGCAATATCACCTGACGGCCTCATCTGCTGTATGAACTGCCGCAGCCTCAATAAAGCACAGGGCTGCCTTAACTCTACCAGGCGAGTCTGTAACTTGAACCACAGATGGGGTGGCCAGACTACATCTTATTGTAGAACCAGATCTCACTTAAATCAGTCTACATGGCTGTGTGCAGTTTGGCTTTGGTTTTGTTTTTTTAACCTTTTATTTTGTTTCCTTTTGACTCTGCTAAAAGCAAGAGATACAGACAAGCACACTTCCTATGCAGTTCATACAGAGAAAGTGCTGGAACTGACACACGTTTATGAGAGTAATCAGTCCTGGCTGCAGAAAATGTGTTTTGCAACCCCTTGTCCTTTTTCCTACGAGAAGATCATGTTGGCAAAATTATGACATGTCCTCGGCCACAGAATCTGGAGTGGCAGGAAGGAAGCACAGAAAGCAGGAGATGAGTCCCACGTGGGCTCGTGGTCACAATAGCATCAAGTTTCATTGCTGGGATCCACTCAGGAGTCCCAGACAAGAAGCCCCTAGAGTGAGAAAATCATTAACAAAGTAGATACAATTACTGGTTTGATTGTTTATATATTAAATGCTATGTATTTCCCTTGTGACTAAGGGTGGTTACAGGAAAGTGGTAAAATGTGGCAAGGTAGGGACAGATAATGGAGAAAAGCTCTACTCGGGCTGACAGGAATGCTGATGTGCCCTGTGTGTCTGCTGGATTGGCTGGGGCTTCTCCGATTTCCCCAATTCCTGCAGAGGACTGATTCTAGAATCTGACAGAAAGATCAACACAGAAGTGGAGGCGAGGGTCCTGAGCATAAAGTCTAAAGCAGTATAAGGGCGGGAAGGAAAGCTAATCGTTGCAGATATGAATGTCAAAGTGGCAGATTCTCTCTTTCTATGGTTTTTTCCCTTCAAACTCTGCCAGTACAGGGTCCATTCCCCAGACCTTCCTATCCACAAATTCTCCATAGGGATTTTAAACCAGAAGCAAGGAAATTAAAACTTAAACCAGAAAACAATTAAAAAATTAAACTTTTTAAACCAAGAAATATTTTTTAAATTAAATTAAAAAACTGTTTTTAATTAAAAATTAAACTAGAGACAAGGAAGACACTAGAACTGACATGCCTAATCCAAAATTTGGATTCAAGATCCTGAATTTTCTCTATTTTTAGCAAAGGGGGTCTCATTATGTAAACCATTAGAAATGAACGATGGATCCAATATACCAGTACCTTTCAAACAAGCTCCTCTTTACACCAATGACTCATAAACATTTCTTGCCCGAGGCAATTCTGTGCATAACGCTGTGCCTTGCAGTATTTCACTTGAAAGGAGTGCCTGAGGAATTTACAAATCATCTTTTTATTGTCCTATTTACCCAGGATCCTCGCCAAGTGGTCAGAATTCCTAAATACATACCTTAGGCCTGGAGATGTGTGGAGAGAGGAAGCATAAGGGCTTGCTCCAACCTCATTTCATGGCGTGAGAGAAGTTAGAACCCAGCCAGAGTCTGGCAGTAGGCAGTTGGCTGTTGTCAGCCAGAATTTGCTGTATCAGACAGCCCCGAGGGGAGGGACTCCATCTATTCCCAAGCCTCCTTCCTAATTGTCTAGTCCCATGGCGTTATTTTATCTCAATGGATTTCTATATCTATGCAACTCTGCTCCCCTCTGGCTCCCTTCCTTCCCATTTCCCCTGTTTTACAACATAAACTAACTCCCAGCAGAATCAGAGTGATGAAGGGGTGTCTGGTTCTGCATACATTACAAGGATAAAAACTAAATGCTGGGTGATAAACACCACCAGACAGCACAGAACGCTCCAGGAGAAAATGCTCTTTAATGGAGTTGCTCTTAAAGTGTCTGCATGTGGCAAGGCTAAATTCCATAAAGTCTCGGTTACAGATCACAGACCTCAAATGCATGAATATTAAAGAAGAAAACAGCAGTGGAGCAACAAAAACTGAGAGGGGGAAGCTACTAAGAGAAAACCACATTCTTCAGGCTTACTTCCTTTCATACGGCCAGTGCTAGGAAAAACCACAATATCGAGAAAACTTTTTCTTCTAGATACACTCTTTCACCCTTGCTGTCTTCTTTCCATGCTCCTTACTCATTCTGTTTCTATCATGATCTGCCCACAGAGATAGGATCTGAAAATAGTTATTTGGAGAGCACATAAGTGACATAGCCCCCTGCCATTTGCATTTTAATTGGGACAAAAAGTTTAACCTAAGAAATGACTCTCCAATAGTGGAATTTCAGGAAAGAATGGGAAAATGAAGAGTAGGTGGAAATGGATGGAAATTTTGGGAAATCAAATCTTTAAATCATACCCTATAAATGGTTTTCTTCATTTATGCAAGTTCTTTTCCACAGGGCTGATTAATACTCTAACCATATTTATTTTTTTTCCTTTTCAATCATAGGTGTAGAAGCAGGATGCTTAGAGCTTGGATAGATCAAGTTTTTCAAGTATCGACCCTGTAAAAGTCCATTTACTATGAATAATGCCTTTCAGAATACTCCTTCCATTGCTCCAGCATGGGGAGGTATCATTCTGAAGCCATTCTTGTTGAACATGCACTTGCTGTGAGAACAATACTCATTTAAATTGCTGTCACTTTCAAGATCACGAGCTAATACCTCCATGTACGTGTATTTAGGTGAGTGTGTGTGCACAAGTGCATGCTTATGCTTGCAAAAATGTACCTTGAAGATTCAAGTTAAAGAAGAAATAGAAATTTCTAACTGAGTTGCTATGAGGAAGCCAGCAGTCACCATAAAATGTAACATAGATGATTGATCTAAACATACTTCCAGAATACCCACAACACATCACTTGGTTTACTAGTTCCATCTTGTTCATGTTTACTTCTATGATCATATTGTTATGTCATCAGAATAACAAAATACATAAATCTTCATTTCACAGAATTGATCACAAACCTAGGAGAAGAGGAGGCCACTACCTGCTTTATTGTCTAAACAAATCCATCGAGAGATCTTGAGTCGTTTAATCATGGTGCTGTCATTTGGTCTGAGTAAGCATATTTTCCTTTCATTAGATTTAATATATAATCTCATTATAGAAATCTGACACTCTGCACTGACTCTCAACTCATAAATCAGCTTCTACTTCTATTCCTAAGGCCCAAAGAAGGGAAAAAAAGCAACAAAGTGTGATAAAAATGCATAGTATAACAATTTTAGCCATTCAGATATTGCTGCCTTGCTACTCTACTTCTTATTTTCATTGTTGATTTATCCTAGTCTCAGTGCCACATGGACTATCATGCTGACTTCCATTTTTCTGTGCAATCAAACATTTAAAAAATATTTCACTCATGAATATTTCCAAAAGGTCATTTCCTAACTTTTCCTTCATCTCATCACATGATCTCTTCTTTGTTTATAGCATCATGCAACATGTGGGTTACTCTCAGACCACCAACGTATCTATTTATAGAGCATCTACAACATGCTCTGTACTTTGCCTGGCGTTAAATGGGATAGAAAAGAGTAGAAAACATCTTCCCCAGCTTTAAATATGATGCAATACATTTGGGGAAAAGAGATCATCATTTTAATCTCAACTAAAGAGGTTTTCTAAATGTTGGCATGTACACGCTGACATATCTATAAGGAATAGACATCACTCTAAATATCTTTTGAGACATAATATGCTTTGACTTAAAATTTTAAAAAGTTCACAACTAATCATTTCAAACAAAAATTTAAGACAAAATGAAGTTGTTTCTCCATTTAATAACATTTTGACTCATAAAGGATCATAAATCTGTTGAGGCTGTATGATATATTTCAGTTCCAAAGAGGAACTAAGTCAACCTCAGAAGACGCAAATTCTATTAAGGATTAGAAAGATATTAAAAAATACATTTGTTAAGCCGCACATAATGTTAAGGTGCCTTCCTGTGTCACATATGCTGTCATCATGCCTCGATGGTAACAAGTTACAGAGCATTTTATTTCAAACCTTTCTCATCTTACTGCCTGACTTCCCCAAGCTTCATTTAAATTTTCATTTTACTTATGAAGTGATAATAATGTGCCTGGTCAGCCCAATCCCTCTCTTGATTTCAAATTGGTAGAGGACCCGCTAATATTTAAGTACTATAAAAATAATCACACTATCAAGCTGAATGCTAGAAATGTTCAATAATCATAATTTACAACTGGAACTTAGTCCTTCAAGTTTCTTGGATAAGGACTCCAAACCTCCATCCTGCCCCCTTTCGCATATGGAGATTAGTGTAAGTACGTATTGTACCTAAGAATCTAATCTGGACCAAGGTGCAGACAAACAACTCGCAGCAATTTCAAACTTTCAGATACATCTTTGTGTAGACAGAGAATGGGCATCAAAGAGTAGTTGGTTCTATTGTTTAAAAAATAAAAATTTCATGGTGAAGTGCTGAATATGGTTCCAGACTACTGCACCTAAAAATTAATACTTGTTTTGGAAGGAGAGTGTGTGTGTGTGTCTGCCTGTTTGTTATATTATTTAAAAGCTGCTGGAAGACAGGAAGAATGTGAAGGCACCTGTGCACTTGACTCTTTTATAGAGATTGACAAACTATAGGAACAAATTCCACTCTGAACTGTGCTGCTAAAGCTTTCCCGGATGGAGTCTAGAGTGAGTAAGTCAGACTTTGAAGAAGTACTGTTATTGGTACTCACGTTCCTGGGATTATAAGTGTAAGCAGAGGGAGACGGGTCTGGACTGAGACCACACCCCACAGTGGTGGAGCTTTGGGGTGCACCTCCCCAAAGAGAGTTAAGGTTTGCATTACGGAAGTTCAAAGGAAGTGACTCTTTCTATGGTCTGACCTGAGGATGGGGAGGACGGAGAACAGGAAAGATAGGAAGTAGGGTATGTTCAAGAGGGCAAACCCTAGGAAGTGTTTAACTCTTAATGCTTTTCCCTTGAATGATGAGGAAAATCATATTTAATCTACAGTATTCAATTTTTTGCTTTCTATGCTAGAATTCCCCTTTCATTAACCTTCAACTTCTCAGTAAAACCTGATATACCTTATAGTTTTGTCTGGTTATAATAGGAAGAATAAAGGTTGGAGACAATGAAAGGAAGTGTCTCCTGCTAAACACATCCCTTGCACACAGGTCGTTGGTACTGTAGCAGTTTCAAGAGGTCAGGAGCAAAGCAACCAGTGGTCTGTGCTGGAGAAGGGAATGGTGGCTAGGAGCTCATGACATCTCCCTATCAGCTGAGAGGCAGATGGCTCAGGAGGGGATAGGAGACAAATTCTGTCTCTCCCAAATAAAGAAGAAAGTGACTTGAGGGAGGAGGTTGATGCTTAGATAACATAAGTAAAACTTGAAAACCGTGACATATTCTTTCTACTGAACACGAAAAGGGTTAATATCAATAGTGCCCAAGTTGAGTATTATTCCCATACAAATGCAGATGGCATTTTATATAAATATATGACTAAAGTTGAGCCCATCTTTACACTATTTGAATTTAGAATATAAAGTTACATCTAGCAAAACTGGTGCAAAATCTACGCAAAGCCTACGTGTTGTAGCTGCTTATTATAATTTGGCTGTTGGCATTTTTTCTTCTCTTGTTTATACCTTGATATCTGGATGGATTGTTCTCCTCATAATGACTCTTCTGTCTCCATCAGACTATTTTACTTTTTTCTTCAAAATTTCTAGAGCACTTACGGTCTGTACTCCAAACTGGGACTTAGCATCTTCTATCTTATATTATTAATTACCTTTTTATAAATTCTGTCTTCCCAACTAAATTGGAAACTCCTTAAAGGAATGAAATATATCTCTGGGGATCTCTGATACCTAAATATGTTTATTATAAAATAGTTATTAAAACAACAATCGTATTGCTTCTTTTTATGAATAAATTCAGAAATAACTGATGTCATTTTAATAGAGCAGCTGAAATACAAAGGAATTAGAGACAGAGTTATAAAGTCCAGTGATTACATGCATGACTCCTTAGATACCAATTAAATACCCTAAAGAAGTGGGCATTCACCCAATACCACCAATTGGGAAAACAATGTATATGAATACTTGTTACATAACCAGGGGACTTTCATCTCAATAAGAGAAGATGACAATATTTTTGGCTAATATCCATAGGATAACTGGCTAACACCAGATGAATAAGAAAAACAATTATGGAAAGAATGATAGCTTGAGCATTTTTAGGATCCATGTGAAACAACTGATGATTCAATGAACTCTAAAAGAATTACTATATGAAACAGGCTAGAAGAAACTTTTGAAATACTATTATTAGTTTTCTTTTTAGGAAAAAGAAAAACTGATGAGGAGTTGAATTTCATGAGCAAGCATATTATACATGGCCACTTATTTCTGTTCAACGTCCTAGTGCATTCAGTTGTTTAATCTATTTCCCACTTTTGAAAGTGGATCTTGTGCAAAATTTTCACCACATTAAAGTCAGGATTTCAGAGATAAAAGAGACTTAAGAGTCTATCTTGTGCAGTTCTCCTGCTTTTGATCTGAGAAAATTGGGGGTAAAGGAGTGATACAAGTTACTTGAAATCACACCACTAATCTGTAATTTTTCACCTAGCATGTTAACTGAAGTTAGCCCCTCACACCATGGAAAGATATAGCAAGCTCTGCTGAAAAAAAAAAAAAAAGCCAGAAATACTGATTCTGTAAATATGTATGACAGAGCAGATGTACGAAAAATCCTTACGGAATAACTAAAAATGCTACATAGCGTATAAAAAAATCTTTAAAAGCATGGGTAGGCTGGTGATAAAGTAAGATAAAAAATTAGAGGACAGACATCTGAAGGAGTTTTCTGAGTAAGTGAGCCTAGGAGTAGGCATTTTCCATCGGTATACCTTCCAAACTCCTGGGTAGTGAGTTACGTGCACAGGACACGGACAAAGCCTGACATCCAAGTAGAGTCATCAGGGAGCCCTGTACAAAGCAAGTACCGGCAGAGGGCAACAACTCAGTAGAGATACACTAGGAAAAAGCACAGTCCATAGAAAACTCTCCTTTTCTTTGAGTTGACATTAAGTCGAAAAGAGAAAACAAAAAATCTCTCTTGAGAATTCCTTATCCCAAATCCATTTTCCAAAGGGTGAAACCAGGATTTATATGATAAGAAAAATCTCAGGAAAAAAATTAAGTATCAAATTAGTAGTGTCCCTAAGGACTGAGTAGAAACAATTTACAAATACTCTCTAGAGAAACACCTTCTAAGCATAGGCCGCAAAGAATCCTTGTGGATGAATTCCAACAAACATGAGCTCCTCACAAAACATATATCTAAGTACACTAGGAAACAAGTCCTATGAATGAATCTGCAGAAAGAAAAAATAAAGTCTCAGATATGCAAGACTGATGATATGTAATTAACAAGAACAGAACATAAAATAGCCTCAATATACTTGAATAAAAGAAGATATGAAAGTAAAACGCATAAAAACGAGTCTATTAAAATTGATCAGGAAATAGTGAAATTGAAACAAATAAAACTCATAGATATGAAAAGCATTTAAATTTAGAACTTGAATAAAACTCAAAATACAAAATTTGACATAGTTGAGAAACTTTGTAAACTAACACATATACGTCAAGAAATTACACGCAAAGTAGCACTGAGAAAGAGAGAAAAAAAGCCATTTATGATCAAGTGGTTAAGAAGCATGAGAAAATACATTGAGAATGTCTAACACAATTTGCTCCAAGTGTGGTCCACAGACTAATAGTATTGGCATCAGCATATTCTCAAGACACAACACAGACCTGTCATGTGGTAGGAATTTGTGCTGTAACAAGCCTTCCAGATGATTTTTTTTCATAGGCTACATTTGAGAAGCATTGGTCTAGTATATTTCTAATCTGAGTTCTAACAGAGACCATATAAAATATTACAGTGGTAACACTTAAAAAATAATAGCTGAAAATTCATTAAAATTAACAAATGACACCAATCCTCACAGACTCAAGAAGTTCAATAGATCCCAAACAGGATAAATAAAAAGAA